TCTAACCCAGAAATGTATCTCCTTTGAAATCTAGGCTCGTGTACCTGAATGCCTACTTGACATCATGAGATAGATTTCCGCTAGACAACTCACACTGAACTTGTCCAAAACTGAATTCTTGATTCTGCCCAAACCTGCGACTCTAACTGCCCTCCTCATCTCAGAAGACGGCAACTCCATTCATCTGTATTTTCAGGCCCAAACCTTTTAAGTCCTCTCTCCTCCATCCAGAATCTGATAATCGCCCGCCACCTCCATTACTTCCCTCCCTGGTCCAGGTCACATCATCATTTTTTGCGCCAGGGCAATAGCCAGCCAATGGGCCCTCTGCTTCCACCCTGAATGGTCTCTATATGGCCTAGTCTCCACGTTGTAACTCTTCTGCTCACAAACCTTCCACCACGGTTTCCCATCCACAAACAGTGAAATCCAAGGTCTTCACCACAGGCTATATGGCCCTACGTGATTCAGCCCCTGCTAACCTTCAGACCTCACCCTCCACCACCACTCTGGCCATACTGGTTCCCTGGCTGTTTCTATAACTACTTAGAACATCCTTCCTGCTCAGAATATTTGCAATCATTGTTTGCTCTGCCTAGAACTTTCTTCCTCCAAGCAACCTCATGGCTTGGTTCCTCACTTCTGTCAGGGGTCTGCTCAACTATCCCTTTAACTAGAGAGCCCTTCTATGGTACGTAGAATTCTATGATGGCTTCCAACCTTCCTGTCCCCTGGTGTACATGCCCTACATAATCCTCTGCCCTGAGTGTGACCCGGACCTTTAAATATGATGGGCTGTCACTCCTGTGATTAAGTTATGTTTTATGACAAAGGTGCAGGGATTTTGCACATGTAATTCAAGTTCCAAATCAGTTGATTTCGACTTAATCAAAAGGGAGATTATTCTAGATGACACTGACTTAATTAGGTGAAAAACCTTTAACAGAGGGACTGGGCCCTTGGAGTGCAGGGGAAATGTTCTCCAACTGCCCCTGAAAAAAGCGAAGTCAGGCTGTGAACTGTCTGGAGTGGGACGGCCTGTAGGAGCCGAAGATCTCAGTCCACAACTGCAAGGAACTGAATTCGGGCCACGCCCAAATGAGCCCGAAAGAAGACCTCAAGCTCCAGGTGAGCAGGTCTTAACTGCAGCCTGGTGAGCCACAGCAGAGGACCCAAGTAGGCTGCGTCCAGACTTCTGACCTACGGAAGCTATGAGATGATAAATGGATGTTACTTTAAGCCACGAAATTTGTGGTAACTTGTTACATAGCAATAGCAATAGAACACTAACACGCCTTCCTTAATACAGAACAGCACCCTCAGACTTTCTAGCTTCTTGATGAAGCTTTTCCTTCAGAGAACCTGATATATCGTATCAGTAATGCTCGTATTTGAATTGCTCCTCTCCCTACCTCTAGAATGTAAGCTCCTGGAGGGCAAGAAATTTGTCTTTTGTTTTTTTCCCTTATTGCGTCCCAGGGCCTAGGACAATGCCATGCACAAGGTAGGTGCTTGAGAAATATCTATAGGATGAATGAGAGTAGCTGCTGCTTATGTTTATATCAGCAGAGAGTGATCCCCAAAACTTAATAGCTTTTAACTGTTAACTTCCAAAGGCTATTTCTCAAATTAAAGTACAGTTGACCTGCAAACAACAGGGATTTGAACTGTGCAGGCCCACTTATATGTGGATTTTTTTTTCAATACATACATACCACAGGACTACACAGCCCACAGCTGGTTAAATCTGTAGATGTGGAACTGTGTATACAGAGGGCCAGCTGTAAAGTTATAAGCAGATTTTCAACTTTGCTGGGGGTCAGTGTTCCTAACCCCTGCACTGTTCACAACTGTACAAGGATTGCCCTTAAAGGGGTCCAGCAACATATTGAGAGATTCATGAGTTCTCAAATGTAAAAAAACACGAATTTAAATAAATACCTTATAACCACTGAACAACAAAAAAGATGCATATAAGCAATTAGGCATAAACATTTGTTTCCTAAAAATAAGTTATACTAAAATCATCCACTTCCATTTTTTGAAAATATCATTGATATGTCTTAATTTCAGAAATACTTTTAATGGATCCTGTTATGCTAGCCTTTTGAATAGTCAGTTAAATGTTGACTAAAAGGCAGCAGAGTCAATAGGATTTGTTTTTGATTGAGCAACTATACCAAAAACTACTAGTTAATTATTGAAAGGCATTCAGAAAGTGAGCAGTTTCTAACAGATGCCAGAAGGTTCTGTCCCACTTGAACTGTTGAACACGATAATCAATGTTCTGGATAAAGGTGCAAAAGACAGGGTCATCAAATTGACAAGGGATGTATATACAAACATTGTAACTAATATAACACATTGACAGTCAGGAGTGAAATGTACGGTGGGCGAGCAATGAGTCAAAACCACCAGGTCCACTCTTATAGTGACAAATGCTAAGATGTGCACAGAGTTTTAAAACATAAGTTGCAGTTCAGAGTCAGCCTTGGTAGCCCTTCAAATGGAAAAAACACAACCAGAGGTTTTTGTTTGACTGTTGGGTCAGGCTAAATTCATCACCAAAGTACACAGGTATTTCAAAAGGCAATGAAAACTTGGACTGATTTAGGAGAAATTTATAAATTTCTCTATTTAGGAGAAATACAGTGTGAACTGCAAAAAAATCACATGATCTAACTACTGTATTCTAGCCTGCTCAGATCACATCTGGAGACCTACATTTAAATATGGGTGCTCCATTTAAAAGGGACAAGGTTAAACTGGAAAATAAGACCATGAAAAGAGTTCTGAAGTTGAAGAGGTCTTAGAGTAAACAACATTAAACAAATTCCTCTCCTGCAGAACTTCTTAGAACCTTTAATGTTAATGTTCCTTGTGATTTCCAAAAAAGGTGTGTGTGTGTGTGTGTGTGTGTGTGTGTGTGTGTGTGTGTGTATGTGTAATAGATGGATACTACCCGTTGTTTCTTAACTTATTTGAACATGGAACTCTTTCTTCATGGAGAATCTTTTAAGACTAGTGACCCAAGCCACGAACTCAGGAAAACCACCACCTAAGCCCATGAGAAAAAGGGTAACAAAAGCAGATACAGACTAAAAGTCCATAGGAGTAAACAAGGATGATTGTGAGGGGGATATAGAACTATATTGTGAGAAGCAAGGCTAAAGTTACTTTTGCTGTTTTGCCTAGGAAAGGAGAAGAGCAAGCCTGGCAAACAACAAATGGCTCTCAGAAAAATGAGAGAATGCAACTGTTTTATATTGTCTCAGTACCTAAAGCAAAACAATATTTGGAAATAAGGTTCAAAGTATGCATTTTAACACTCTTCAGGAGACTTATCCAGAGAACCTGATATGTGCTCTAAGGGTCAGAATTTGAGCCCAGAATAGCAAGGTCAGCTACATCTTCAAGAGGACATAGCAATTACAGCTTTTCAGTATCACAGAGGTGATCACAGGAAAAGAGTGAACTGAAGTATGCACGGGGACTAGGTAAATACCCAGCAGGGGCACTGAAGAAAAGACTCCTGTGTATGTCAAGTAGGAGGTTGGATGACTGGGGTCTAAAGGTGACTTCCAACACTGCATGCTCAGCGGGCTAGCCTGTAACCTCCGTAGTCTCGCTCACCCTTTGCGTCTCAAAGACAAACACTGAGCCCCGCACAGAACTGCTTTCTCAGAAACATCGGTGCATATTTATAAGTGAATAAATGAACAAGTGAAAAATAAAAGGAGTACCTGTTTCCAAAGTCAAACGAAAAGGGAAAGGGCTATTTCATTCTCTGGGGACTGCTAGATACACTAACTGTGAATCACAAGCAAGGTTACTCTCAAATAGAAGGAAAATAGTCTTGTAATAATTTCACGTCTTGACTTGGAAATCAACTCTGAATTAAACTGCACCAAGGGTCGCGGTGAGGTTCCCACGGTAAGTATGGGAAAATGCACTGCAGATTGTGAATGACCATCAGGAGGAAGGGGTGATTATGGCGAAGATAATCTACCCTGACAGATTATGATAATTCAGAGGGCTGGAAACTAACCTTGAAAATGAATACATTATAGCCATGGCTCTGAAAAAGGCCCATTAGCCATGTGTTCTATTTGTTTAATTGTCAAAGGAGAACATATTTTAAAATGCCTTCAAAAATGTGACAGGGAACTCTACTCAGTGCTCTGTGGTGACCTAAATGGGAAGGAAATCCAAAAAAGAGGGGATCTATGTATACGTATAGCTGATTCACTTTGCTGTACAGTAGAAACTAACACAACATTGTAAAGTAACTACTCCAATAGAAATCTTTTTAAAAAAATGTGACGGTGATTGACCTGGTAAGTTGAGCTATTTACAATTAAGTTCAAGCAAATTTCTTTTGTCTTGAGATTCCAAATTCTTAACAAAGAATGCACATTCAATTGACCTTATTTTTAAAAATCCTTGATATAGAAAGCTTTCATTCACTAGATACAAAGACTAGACTGTCAGGCACCATATTTGTATCCATTTCCTGGAAGACTAAGGGTTCTTTCATAGTATATCTATCATTTCTCCACAGTGGCTGATCAAACCTGTCACTGAAGAATGTTCTGAACAGGCAACTTGTCGTACAAGCATGGTTTATTTCTGTCAGAGACTGACTGCTGAAGTGAGAAAGAAACTCATTAAAAATCCCTTACTGTGATCTAACGTAGAAAAAGAAAAGAAAAAAAAAGAAAGAAAAACCCAAGGAAGAAAAGGCAAGGAAAAAAAAACTTAATGAAGGGTACACTGAGCCTGCAAATACACTCACATGGTGCTTTTCTTTCTTATTCTTCTTGGGGAAGCAACTAGAAGAGAGCAATTAGTCCTGGGAATACAGCACCCACAGGCTATTTGGGGAGATCAAACAAGGTAACAATTTTACTTTATGCTAATATTATGAAAAGCTAAGGAAGGAGATCAGAATATTGTACTATACGTAGGGAAAGTGATGCAAAATAAACAATATTATTTACCTTAATCTTAAAACTAGGTTCACGGCACAAGAAGCTTCTCTGTAGTCTTCACTAGCATTGAGTAAGCCCTTTAAAAACAAAACAGCAAACTGTTATAAACCCGGGAAATACATGCATAAAATCATGATAGCCCTTGACTCATAGAGCCCTTTCTTCCTGGAAATTTCAAATCTAGCTCTTTACACATGCAGGTCTTATTTGTCCACATAAGACCTCTGTGTGAACACTAGAATGGTGTCTACTTCCCATCACAACTGTGGATTCAAATGTTTCATACAGAAAGCCTCAGTAGGAGGACGGGCCCTAGGAACAACTGGTATAAGCAGCAGTTAAGTCCAAAGGAAAGCCATCTAGAGGGGAACCTTGCAACCCGAGCCGTGGACTGTACCGACTGGGCCTGGGTGATGCACAAAGGTTGCGCACTTTAAACCTCATGATGCAGAGGATGGAGGAACCTAGTAGGTGAGGCCACAGTTTACCTTTCTCGCCTTTCTCCCCTAGAGTCTATTTCCTTGAACACAGATCATCAGTTATGACTGCCTCTGCTACACAGCCTCTCCCTACTCCTACCAATTCCTGGACATGAGACATTCCTACTGGAGTAGAAAAATAACGGATTTTAGGTCAAGACTTGGCTCTGCCGCTGACCAGCTATGCAACTGTGGGCAAGTCATTCTCCGGACTTGTTTTCTCATTTACAAAACGGGGATAATACCTGCCTCAAAAGTTTCCTGGGACAACAAAATAAGGTATATGAAAATGAGTCAAACTATACCATGTTACTTACTACTAGGTATCCTTATCCCTTTTCCTGTTTCCTTTACTCTTTGCCTCGTGACCTGTTGTTATCCCTACCTTTCCTTTTATCATTCAACCAATCCCTACAGTTTACTTCAAGGTGTTTTACTGAGTTGCCCAATACAATGGAAAGGCTCTGCCTCTAAGCAGTTGTGCAACCTCGGCTGAGCCACTTCACCTCTGCAAATCTCTGCTCCCTCAGGTATAAAAGATAAGGGTCAAGGACTAGATGTCTAACCTGCAATCATGAAATCCCATCACTCTCCCTCCTCTGCATACAGCTGTTTCATAAAATACAGATCAGGTAGAACAGAAATACATTTACATGGAATATGCAGCTTTGGAGGGAAGATGTGATCCTCCGGCTGGTGATACTTGAAAGTATAACCACTTTGAGAGCTGAAGGGCTTGCCTATTAATTACACAGCAAAACCAGAACGGGGGCCTGCACTCTGGTTCTACGTCCACAGCCCCTGCCCTGGATGGCTCAGCATCCTTCATCAGCACCCGACACAACTCGTGGCACACGTGTTCTGTCATATAACTTTTAATATGAATTCATTCACAGTCACTGGACTATTATTTTTACAAGGCGAGTTGTAGAGATAAATTGGCCCATAAAATTCAGTGATAAAAGAATTATAAAAACAGTTTAGAAATCCAACCAGGAGCAAAAAAGAAAAGTATCAATTAATTATAATGTTTTGTGGCTGGAATCTAGCAGAATGGTGAGTCATTTTCTTTCCTTTTCTCATTTCACACAGTACCAGCAATTTCAAAAGCAGTCTGGTAATCAATTCTTGCTCTTGAACCTATCATTTAAAGGTTGGAGGCCCTGAAAATCACAGTCAATAGTGACAGTCATCTTTTCTCCATACTTATTAAAAAAGTGTCTACAAGCCCCTGCTTTGGAAGCACCACCCTGATATTGTCTATCTTTCTAAAATGTCAGGTTTTGTTAAAAGAAAAAAGAAAATCTGTCTACAACGTAAATGACAGGCAGAGAAACGTACCTGAGGGTCCTGCACAGACAGGGACTGTATCTGCTTGGGTATGCTGCTGGCGTTCACTGCGATCTGTTAACAGAGCCACCGTTACAGCACGTAAGAACACCAAAATAAGACGTTAAGCTCAGTGTGGTTACAGTAAGTCTCAGTTATCAGAGACAAAAATCTTAAATAATTTAAGTAATTTTAAAGCACCATTTCCCAGAGTGTGGTCCTTTGACTACTTGCATTGGGATCACCTACGACACATGTTAAAGATTCCAGGGCACCATCCAGCCTATGATTCAGAATTTCATGGAGACAGAAGAGAATCTGTATCTTTAATAAGTGCCCCAGGTGATCCTTAAGCTTTTAGAGAACCACCAAGCTAAAGTGAAAAGGCAGGGACTATTTGATATTTTAAACCTGATAACAGAAAGATGCCCAATGACCATTTTTTTCTTGTCACACAACTTCATCGCAAGTTAAGGGCCCCTAATGAAAGGATGTTAGGACTAGCACAACCTGCCCCTTTAATCATTACTTTGAACAATTTATTCACAGCACTGGATTTCAAAAATATGTAAGAGTAGCTGGATTTTTAAAACACATTTTCCCCAAAAGAAAAGCTAGAGTAATAGGTTATATTTTTCTCTCCAAGCTGGAAACCTGACCCTCATGTGATACCCAAAATATTTCTGCCTCAATCCCTACTTTTGTGAACTCTGCCCTGGAACAAAACTTGAAAGGCAAACGAAAAGAGAAACAACATTGACAAAGAATGAAAAATATATATTATTCCCTAAACTTACTATCGATTCTAAAATTATCAGAAGTCATCAGAAATTCTTTGTGGCAAGAGTTTTCTAAAGTTTAAGAGCGTAAAATTCTTACTCTCTCTGCTTCCGCGAAAATAACTCTGTTAGTAATGAAGAAACAAGGGGAAGTATACCCACGTCTGCAGTTTCCTTTGAACTGCATCCAAAAACAAAGGTAGACCGACAGATGACTAGATGGCTGTGCATGAGATGAAGTATAGTAATGGCAGAATCCAGGTGATTGCTGGGTGGATGTTCACTATAAAATGTTTTTAATGTTGCAATATTTTGGAAGTTTTTCATATTAAAATGTTGGGGGGAAATGACTATGTTAGAAGAACAAACAACCCGTGTTCATTAACCAGCCAGAGGGCCTTGGTCTATCCCAAATGATCTCTTGTAAAGAATTTTTCAGACTGATTCCACCTTTTTTTTTAACTTAAATTTTTTTCTTTTTATTTTTTATTGAAGTATAGTTGATTTACAATGTTGTGTTAGTTTCTGGTGTACAGCAAAGTGAGTCAGTTATACATATATTTTTTCATATTCTTTTCCATTATGGTTTATTACAGCATATTGAATATAGTTCCCTGTGCTACACAGTAGCACCTCGTTGTTTATCTATTTTATATACAGTAGTGTGTATCTGCTAATCCCGAACTCCTCATTTATACCCCCCCTTTCCCCTTTGGTAACCGTAAATATGTTTTCTATGTCTGTAAGTCTGTTTCCGTTTTGTTCATAAGTTCATTCTTAATTAAGGTTTGAGATACTACCAAAAGCCACATCACATCACCTACAGAATATCCTACCTTTAGTCAAAGAAGGTTTGTAATATGGAAAATTCTTAATGGCATTTACCAGAGGTGACAACTTCTCTTTCCCCTGGGGAGGCCCATCTCACGCCCTGTCCCTTACTCCCGGACAGTTAGGGGCACAGAGAGCTATTACCGTGCAACCTCACTGTGTAGATGTAACCCTGCACGTGATGAAGAAACCAGTCTCCAGCTCCCACTGGGGCAGGAAATGTGCAGAGATGCACAGGAGGGCTGGAGAGGGAGGTTCCCTGCGCAAAACATCTTCCCTGACAACCAACTGTAGTCTGCCAAATTTCACCATTATGGACCCCATTCTATCAGTTTAGGGCATGACTTCTGGGCATGCATTTTTAAATGTAAAAACTTACAAGAAACCTAACACATTAAGCAGCTGTCATTCATTAACAGTATAATATAAATTTGTCTACTGGAATTTTTTAAAATTTTAAACAGTTTGCTATTAAGAAGGATACTTGAGAGAATGGGTGTTTTGATAGCAGAGGAAGAGAAGAATAACAGATTAATGTTGGACACGGCCCTGGAGACAGGCCTCTGGGACTGAGTGAAAGAGGAAAGCACCTTGGAATAGAGACAAAAAAGGGACAACATCCACTTTCTAATTTTTCATAGTGCTCTATCTAATCTTCTCATTTTCTGTTTTTAAAAATACTGCAGCTAAATGCACTGTGTTATCCTGGATTAGATCCTGGGACAGAAAAAGGATGCTAGTGGACAAACTAATGAAATACAAATACAATCTGAGATGTAGCGGATAGTAATGGAGCACTGATGGTTTTTAGTTGTGACAAACACGTCAGGGCTACGAAAGAAATTAACGGTAAAAGAGCATGGATGAAGAATGTACGGGAACCCTACAGAGTACACTATCTTTGCAAATTTTCTGTAAACCTAAAATTACTCCAAAACAAAAGGTTTATTTTCAGAATTGCAGGAGATTCTAAGTTTAACAACAACTAGTTGGAAAGCCAGTCACCTGTAATAAGAACACCTTTTAGAAAGTGACATCATAAAAGCATCAAGCAAAAGCCGTCTGTGATCCAGTACAATCAATTTGGAGGGAGAAATCAAATCTTTGCCTCCAACTACAAATGGGTATAAGACAACATGAGAGCTGACAGGCGTCTGGAAAACACAATGTCATCAGAAATAATTTCAAAAAGCTAACGGCAGTTTTAACAATCATCCAGCAATAGCACTGAGTAACATAAGCAATGAATTTCGCTTTCACACTGTGTCTAAGCTCTGGTAAAATTCACTCAACCTAAATCCACACCAAGTGGATTTTCTCCTCAGAACAAAATATCAGAGTTGGGCAACAATTAACCTAGCCTAGACCTACAACAAAATTCTTCAATATACCTGTCATGGGCCCTACAGGGCTTCTGTCATCAAACCTTCCCACCTGGCGCCATTACACTTGATTAAATAAGGACAACTTTTCCAAGGGATTTCTGAAATGTCTTAGTCGTTTTGTTTTTTTGTTTGCTTGTTTGGGTTTTTTTTTTTTTTTTTTTTTTTTAAGACTTCTGATAGGCAGATATTTAAAACAAATCTTCAGGTATTTGCAGCACTCAATCTTCCTGGATTCCAGTCTGGGCTTTTGGATTCAGAGCGACTAGTCCTTCATCCTAGTCACGTATCAGAATCACATGAACAGATTTTTTAAAAATCAGAGTTGCCTTAGACATAACCCCAAACCACCAAATCACAATTTGATTTGCTGGGTCTAGGGATCCGCATTTTTAAAGCCTTTGGTTTTTCTGATGTGGAGCCAGGATTGCAAACCATGTTTTCATGACCCCTAACAGAAGGGCTACTACAAACCGAGCGCTTCCTTAATAGAAGCCTTGGAAAATGTCCTCCTCACTTAAATGAAACCAAAAGAAACTGTGAATTGAAACAAAGGCAGGGCTTCCCTGGTGGTGCAGTGGTTAAGAATCTGCCTGCCAATGAAGGGGACACAGGTTCGAGCCCTGGTCCGGGAACTTCCCACATGCCAGGCAGCAACTAAGCCCGTGCGTCACAACTACTGAGCCTGCGCTCTAGAGCCCGCGAGCCACAACTACTGAGCACATGAGCCACAACTGCTGAAGCCCACGCACCACAACAAAGAGTAGCCCCTGCTCGCTGCAACTAGAGAAAGTCCGCATGCAGCAACGAAGACCCAATGCAGCCATAAACAAATAAATTTAAAAAGAATGAAAAATAAAGTCAGTTTTACTTTTATATAAAAAATTAAGGTATAAAAATTGCTTAAAGAATTATAAGACGTGTACTGATTATTTTGGAGACTGACAAAAGGATTCCAAAATCACTGGTCAAAAAGAAGATCAAACCACAACAATGAAAATTTTTTATAAAGCAAAAAAAAAAAATCAATAATGAGATAATAGTTGAAAGGTTTTATATAAGCTAGGATGTTGTATCAACTAGGAAACCCTACCTAAGAAATACCACTTATTTGGTATTTGTCCTTGCAAATACCACTCACGAGCCCTACCCCCAAAGAGATGAGCAGCTTCTGGAGAGAAGGCCCTCTTCTGTGCTTTTGTATAATTCCCACAATGCCACAGTGCCTAACGCAGCTCCATGGGAAATCAGACCCAGATTAAACATTTGTCCAATTAACTAACTTCTTTATTATTGTTATATTATTAACCTTTAGTCTCCACTGGCTTCCACCACCCAAGTGGAATAAGATACTAAATAAATGAAATTAGCATGAATTATTTACTTATTACAAACTAATAATTACTAGTAGGTGACAAATACTTTGCAAGGCTATTTCTTAAAAACCAGGTTAAGAACACACTAGGACCAATTTCTCACTAAGTTTGGCTACGAATCTCATTAGACAAGTGGTGTAACTCTGGAACTTTACGTTTTACACCGGAATTTCTCATCTCCAAATACGGTCCTGTACCAGGCACATCTACCCAAGGTCCCTCTGGCAAATACCCCACCCTTGCCTTCTCGGTCTTCTCCAACTAGTGCTGTAATACCTGGACATTCTGCCTATACTTCCAGGAAGCCCAATAGCCCCTCACAAAATAAGCGTTTCTAAAATGCCCCTTCTTTATTGCAGCATCTCACTCTTAAGTGGAACTAAGACTACTTTTTCTGAACTTCAGCTCGATCATAAAACGTCTTCTGATCCTTCCCCCACTTCTTACCTACTTATAAATATGACAGACCTATTCAGGCACTTGTTTAGAGTCTGATTCTCAGTGCATAGGTTTCCATGTCACCAACAAATACATATAGCATGTCTACTAGATGCTAAGGGAACATGGACATGAAAAAAAATACTATCCCCAGTCACCTAGTGGCTTACAGTCAAGTAAATATCTCAACTGCAATTTAAATGACATATATTACTGAAAAGCTTATTACGAAGTAAACACACTGCCATTTCAATGTGCCATTTAGTACATCTTTTCCCTTTAAAAGATGTTTAAAGGTATAAGGTACACTGTCTGCGACTGTATACAGCCTTTTTCCCCAGCTTTGAGGTATAACTGACAAATACAATGGTAAGATATTTAACATGATACAGCTTTTGATAACAGCTATAAAAATCCCAAATCAGCAGATACTGTAAATCACAGTTCTATGTACCTATGCTTTATTTATATGTGCGCCCCTCAAAGTGCGTACACAAAAAATGTTAATGGAATACAGTTTGCAATAGCAACCTAAATGCTCAAGAAGAAAGAAATGGTTAAGTAAACCATTTTGACAGGTAATACTCCTCAGCAGTTAAAAATAAAGAGGTAGATCTATAGCAACTACTGTGGAAAGATTTCCAAGATATAAGGCAAGATGCAAAATTTTATAGTTTTTATAATCTCATTTATATTTTTAAAATGATATGCTAGACTTCTTTATGTACATATTTGTATGTGAATGAGCAGGAAAGGTCTGGAAGAAAACATTGTAAACTTATAACCTCTGGAAAGATAGGACAGTCACAGGGGTAAGAACGGTAGTAGGATAAAAGTGGTCCTTCAGAGTTATTTCTATTTAATTCTCCCATACCTTTTTACAAGTCTTTTTTTTTGCTGTATGCAGGCCTCTCACTGTTGTGGCCTCTCCCATTGCGGAGCACAGGCTCATGGTCGCTCAGCAGCCATGGCTCATATGGGATCTTCCCGGACCAGGGCACGAACCCATGTCCCCTGCATCGGCAGGCAGACTCTCAACCACTGCGCCACCAGGGAAGCCCTTTTACAAGTCTTTATGTGCCTCTCAGTAAGGCCTATCCAGACTAACCCTTTTAAAATTATAAACCCCTACCATACTACCTCACCCTCTACCCTATTCTATTTTTTTCCATTACTCCTATTCCATTGTAACAAACCACATAACTTACTTACTTATGAAGGCTATTGGATATCGTTTATCTACTCCCATTGGAATGGAAGCCCCACAAGGACAAGGATTGCACTGTTTTTCTCACTGATGTATCCCCAACATCTACTAAACAGTGCACACAGTACACACATTATATATATATAATTTATATTATATATATATTTATTTATATATATAATTTACGTTTATATAATTTATATGCTTTATGTCTGTTGAATATTCAACCATTTTAATTCCCTTTATAATAGATTAAAAAATATTTTTTGCTTCACATCCAAAAAGTGACTTGGTGTGACTGGTAAATCAGGGGGCTACTTTAATCAAAAGCTGAAAGGACACAGGAACCAACACTGAAGAGATTCTGAACACAGCTCAGGATGCTGAAACGCCAGCCTTGTGAAAAATACCCCCCAAAAAACAAAAACAATAAAATGGCGTGGGAAGCTGTGTAACAGCAGAGAGAGCTGGTGATTCCTAAAGTTTGGGGGGAGTGTTTACATTCAAACTAATGTATCCTTCCACAGAAATAAGAAGCTTATCTATATGCTTCCTTAATTATAAGCCAGTATGGGAACAGACATATGCCACTGGGAAATCAAGCGAGTCTAGATACAGTAAGGTGCCTAAGACTTTCAAATTCCACTCAAGAAGGTTGACAGGGATGTTTGATGAACAACTGACAGCATGCTATACACTACTCTTTTTCCTGTCTACGAAGAAAATACGTTTGCCAGAAAGATACTGCTATTATCCAAATAACAGATCAGTTATCAGAGCAATTGCAACGAGTACAGAGTAAGATATTCTCAAAATAAACTTAACAAATCCTCATGAGGAAAGACCTACACCCATCAGCCTATACTAGTAAGGGAGAATTCCAGTGAATATCTTCCAACGAAAATGTCCTGCAGTGAACCAATAACGAATGATTTTTGAGTCAATGACGCTACTTGAATCATGTTATTTTGTTCTATTTCTAAGGAGAACTGACACTTTTAGTTAGAGTCACTCTTAGAAATAGATGAAAAACCTTGATCTGCACTTCACTCCAGATAAAACAGTGGGCAAGAAGACGGCAGAGTTCATGATAATGGGTTAAGATCACTGCAAAAATCCAGCAGGATGTGTGTGTAGCCAACATGTCCTACTGTGGAGCACACCACCATCCTTCTAACTTCTTGATCAAAGCTCATATTTGATGTACGAAATAGAGAGATTAATTCATATGATAAATATAGGAGGAAACAGGATCTGAAGGAGAGTTACCAGTAGGAGGCAGGCAGACTGAAAAATCCCTAGGAAAGGCCCATCAAGGAGGCATGAGAATGAAAAGACACCAGAGCCGGGGTGGGGGAGAATGACAGGGGGAAGAGTGGCTTGTAGCTCTGATGCTCTCTTCTTAGATGGTGCAGCTGGTTATTGCCACTTAAAGCAGAATGATAAGATTTACTCCATTTAATTAAAAGGAAATTTAAAAAGAAAGTTGGGATGGATATCATCTGTAGCCCGAAGTCTTCTGTTTTCTTAAAGAGAATTTATCAAAGTACACATTAAATACTAGATTTGTAAAATACTTGGAACTATTTAAATACGCTTAAACTTCCTCTAGGAGAATGAGGAAGTCCTTTGAACTACAGTCATCATTAGTCATTAGAATAATTAACCAGTGGAGGAAGTAAAGTTAATCAAAAGATGACCAGTTCTCAAAGGGAGGCTGATGAAAGACTGTTCCTTGCCTACTAAGTTACCCGGGAGATTTAAAAATCAAAACCAACAAATTCAACCTAGAGTTCCTAACCATGTTAATATCTTGCTTCATGGTAAACTAAAAATCTAGGAGACATTTTCCTGTATGCCTAGTATGTTCTCTAAGTGATAGTAATCCTAAGAATTAAGATGAAGTGAGTAACTAATTTGTGCTAAGAACTCCACTGAGTGCTTCATGTATGTGATTTTATCAATCCTCACAGCAATTTTATAAGTATTGTGATCACCCCCATTTGACAGAGGAGGAAACTGAGGCTCAGAGAGTAATCTGCCCCAATATACACAGCTCCAAAGTAACTCAGACAGTATCAAGACCCGCAAAGCCTATGTGCCTTTTCTTTTTTTTCTATACCACGAGAACAAAATTTTGAAGGTTCTTCCCCAAAGAGATCAGACTGATACTTGTGGGAGGAGGCTGGGGGGGAGACGAGGCAAAGAACTAAATAAATAACCACCACTCACCTCTGGATTTTCTTCTTTTACTCTTCGTGACTGTAAAACAATTACATATTCATTAGTACACACACGCCCCCAAAAACACAAAAATAAAACTGACACAGGTTAGAAAATCATCATCAATGTCATTTTACCTTTTCTTGCGAAAACGCAGCTTTCCCTTCTTCACTTTTTTCATCCATCTCGTCGTCACTCCACTCCCAGTCACCGTCTTCGGTTTTATGAAGGTGACCGCTTGACCCCGGAACTCTTCTCACCTGGACCAAAACAAATCCACCCAATTCTTCACCAGCTGAACACAACCTGTGTTTGCGGGTGCAGCTCTTTGGGTTACACAGCATACGCTTACCTTGAAAGTAACCTGAGTGGTTATGAATTCAGGGGTAACTAGCAGTGAATACCCCAAAAGACTACACAGCCTCCAGACTCCTACACTCATCCTCTTTCCAAAGATATTAAGTTCTTGAAATGTTTTACTCTGTGTAGAACAAAATATTTTGGAAGAGTACAACACACGTCAGCCAAAGGATCAAGCCCATTTTTCACTTTGGCTTCAGTTAACACTGTATGAATCACTACACGTGAAAGTCCACGTGGTAGGTTTCAAAACTGCTTAAGGAAATGCATGCAAGCGAGAGACTGAGGACTAAGGGAAGACAAGGGACTCAGGCAGCCTGAAGAAGCATACTAGTCTAGGGCATCAGCCATCTCCAACCTATACCAAAAACGCAAATGTCCTTCTGTTGCCACCTTGCTCTTTTTCAGAACCTGACGTCGTGCTTATTTTCCCAGGATTCTGCTCAACCTACTTGAGCAAAACAACACAACATCAAGGCTATTCTTAACACGCCTTTCAGGATTGCCAGGAACACAGCAAGACAACCAGCAGCCGTGTCAGATGAACTAAACAGATGATAACAATTTTCTGCCATGATTTCGTATTTTTTTGAGCTAGGGTAGAGATGTGGTCCACGGGGAATGCTCTCCACGTGTCTCTGTGGTTGAAAAGGCAAAACTTTTCAAAGGAGCGGATGACTGAGAATAATGAGCCTCTGACCAAAGTAATTTGCTTTAAAAAATGGACGGAGATGACTTATAGCCACAGAGAACAGAGTTGTGGTTGCCAAGGTGGGGGAAGAGGGGGAGGGAGAGGGAGGGACTGGGAGTTTGGGGTTGGTAGATGCAAACGGTTACATTTAGAATGGATAAACAACAAGGTCCTACTGTATAGCACAGGGAACTATATTCAATATCCTGTGATAAACCATAATGGAAAAGAATATGAAAAAGGAATGCATATGTGTGTATAACTGAGTCACTCTGCTACACAGCAGAGACTGGCACATTGTAAATCAACTCTACTTCAATTTAAAAAACAGAGCAAAACATGGTCTGAGACGTGGTTAAACAAAGCAATGTAGCAAGCGAACAAGACGTGAACATAACAACCAGTGATCCACTGATTCAGAGAAACCGCAAGTGGAAAGGGACCTTGGAGACTGTCTAGTCAAACCCCCTCACTTTACAGATGGGAGAACGAAGGCCCAGAAAGTGACCCAAGATATCACACAGGTGTAAAAGCAAAATGAAGGCAAGAAAAAAAGCCTTCAGGTTCCCATTCAAATGCAAGTTTTCCTATGCCACTGAATGGTAACTGTGAAAAACCAGCTGTCTAAAAATGTCCTGTGAAGACTTTGAAAGAGTATGACATGAAGAAAGACTATTTTCCATAATAGAAACTATCCAGTTTATACCACAGGAAGTTCATGAGTTCCAAGGGAAATACCACAGGATTTAGGTGTAAAGTAATCATTCACACGTGTTGGATCAATGTGAAGTCATAAACAATGCAGACCTGGGGTTGGGTTTGATTTGAAGGCATTACCATGTGGAACCTGTACAAGTAAGCCTGAACACTTGGTCTTGAGCTGCGACGTAGAAACTTAAAAAACAAGCAAAAGGTTCTTATTCATAATTGCAAATGGTTGTGCTCAATTTTTTTTAAAAAGCTTTTTTCTCCACTAATTCACCTTCAAAACACTTAGCACTTAGTAAAAACTCCTTCTGTGCTTGGCGTAAGATACTTTTTCCACTTGCATTTTGAGTCATTGGAAAGACCTATTTAATGACAGTGATTTTAATGATGCTTATAGATGTTGGCAAGGTACTGTAGAAAAGACGCTGAAATGCAATGCACTTCAGGATTTTTTAGAACAGACTGCTCATTTTAAAGCTACAAAGAAATGGATAAAGAAGAGATTTTCTGTTGACATATACAGTAAAATTAATTATTTTCTTAGCAACACTAATCATGACGAGAGCAATACGGAGGAAAATCTGATAATGACTACATTACAAGAAAGCATTTAAAGCCACATCTACTACAAAACATACTATTAATATTAACTAAGAAGTGAGAAGAAAAGTAAAATTGTGGATCATAAACAGGAAAAAACTCTACCTTCACTCAGACTGTAAAACCCAAGCACGGTTGACGAATTAGTATTCTTCAAGTACTCATTCAAAAGATCACAGCAGGGAAATCTCTCTTTCTGAAAAGAGATAGTGCAGCTTCACACCCTAAAATTTAGTTTATGTTTTTTCCTCTCGCTCTATGTTTACAAAAGCTGTCCGTTTTGTTTCTTCAAGTGGGATCCAACTACAGACAATAAAATGGCCAACTTCTATTTCTATTTTATTTTATAACCCTGACTGTGTCCCTCCTCTTAGTTTTATTTGCTGGAAGAGAGAAAGATAAAGCAAAATGTCTAGGATTATAGCCTCAGGCATTGAAAGAAATGGTGGGATGGGCCTTTAAGTAGTAAATATTGATTAAACAAATAAATGTCGAAATTAAGACAACGAACACTCAAAAATCTAGGTAGCATAAAATACTGGTGTAAGCGTAGCAAGAATAAGAATACAAATTTATTCCTTAAGACTGTTGTCTCCGTTTATTGGAAAGGAAAAAACTCGCAGCATAATGTGAAACCCAGGTTTCACAGTGTATTTATGCGACATTGACCTCTGCGGAAGAGACCAGAAAGCAATTTTACAAAATTACATCCTTGTGGGGAGTTTGTAGGGATGACAGGAAGCTTTTAGGTCTTGAGCCAAGGCAACTAAGTTTCATATAGTTTAAACAAATGGGGTTTTTATTTAGGAACTGAAGAATAATCTACAAAATAGATGCTTCAAAAGAAGATGCGTAAAAGCTTCTATCCTCCCCCATCCCCTACCGTGATGAGCATGGAGGTTACCCACCCTCAGAACTCTGACTGCATTCCTGTTACGTCGCTCTTATTCTATTAAATGGCTCACTCACTGAGTAAAGCCAAGAGGTGGTTAAGTGAAATTTTTTCTCTGTTGGCGATTTAAAAAAATAGCCCAGTGCTTCTCAGAGAAATAAGCTCAACTTAAGTGACAGCTAGAGCTATTCATAAGCCCACAAATTCCTCAGGTCAGAGCTGGCAGTAGCGAGGTTAGACCAAGTTTTACATGCAATAACATTTATTCCCAAAACTGGGAATAAAACACAATTGAGCAGTTCTATTTATACCATACCTCTGAAAAGGAAAGTAATATTATCTTCTCTTCCTTGAAACAGCATTTTTATGAAAATCCATTAAAGAAATGAAGTTCTGATTCCCACAAAAAGTCAGGCTCCACCAGACAGATAGAGGGAACAACGGTGTGGTTCCCCGGCCAGTTCTTGTGGCCATGGGGTCAGGTCAGAGGCAGAGCCAGGATGGGAAGGCCAGGGAGAGGGAATGGCAGCAACAAGGGACACAGTCCCTGGATCTGTTCTGGGACTCATCTTCCCAGGGGTGCCCCTTCGAACAGGAGCTGTCTATAAATACCAGGACCCAGGATCTCCATACAATATCTCAGGTTGCCACCTGGCCCCAGACACCAGAACAGGAGGAAGGATGTATACAAGAGAGTACAAGAGAGCCAACGGAAGCACTTTCTATACAAGGGGTTAAATGTTAGAAGTGCAAGTGTGTTTCTCTAACACACTCCTGAACAAAGGATGAATGTGACCCAAAGAAATACTGACCACAGTTTAGTAGAATTCGTCTCAGTACTGCATGCCCTTCCTCCCAAGGCACCGGCCAGCTACTTCCACTGCCACATAACTTCTCCCTGGAGTGGTATTTCAGGAGCTCCTTGGAATGGTTTTCCCATCTCTGGGAATCCTGTTCTCCACCTCCCCTCCACCTGCCGGACAAACTACGTGCCTGGCTGTATGTAGCCTGAACCCAAGATGGGGAGCCCACCCACCTCACATCTGCCCACCAAGGACACCCTGGACATGGCAGAAAGCAACACCCAGTAACTTTTCTCTCCTCAGGCATTCTACTAACCAGAAGTAGGAAACCTGTTTCTAATCAACTGCCCTTTATAATGTCCTTGAGGCACAGCCCAGCAAACAAAAAGCCTTCTAAGTCATCAGAAATTAAACACCAAGAAATAAAATTAGACTCACCAAGTTTTCAGCAGTAAATATTTGCCTGTCCCCATAGCTTATACTCTGACATTGGCCCCTGTGCCCCCCAGCTCTCGGGCACCTCCGTCCCACGCCTACTGCCTGGCCTTACTGTGCTCTCAGGCCCTCGGTCTGCTTCCGCCTCTTCCATCAACCCCGCCTGGCTTCTCCCGTATCATATAAAGCCCGGAGCCCACAGCTGACGCTCTTGAGGCTGCACTTGTTAGTGCCCCATGGCCCTGTGCCCATTCCTGGCCGCCCCACACCTGGAGGAAAGCCTGGGCTCAGCCTGAGCCAATGGAGAGGAGGCACACTGCCTGGTGATGTCACAGGGGACCACTGGCCACTCCTAGTCGGGGCAACAGTCCTGCTACAACGCTGCCACTCAAAGCGTGGTCCCCAGATGAGCAGCAACAGCATCACCTAGAAATGCTGAATCTTGGGCCCCACCCCAGACCCACTAAATCAGTATCTTCCTTTTCGCAAGCTCGCCGGTGATTCACATGTCCCGCAGGTTTGAGAACTTGTGCTCACTGTTAGTCTGGTCCCTCAGGTTTGAGGAGTTGTGCTCATTGTTAGTCTAAGTCCGCCTCCCCAGCCCTTGATACCAGCTGTTACTCATGTACCAAAAGTGACTCAGCACTTGAAACATATTAACAAATTTAACCTTCACAGTAGCCCTGGGAGCTGAGAACCATTTTATTCCCCCCGTTTTTTCAGAGGGAAAACCGAGGCGCAGGGGAATTTAAACAACCGGCTGGAGCTCAA